GGGGCCCCCTCCGGCTCCCCCCGCCATGCAGGGGGCGGTGTGTCCGGGTCTCACTGTGCGGCTCTGCCTTCCCCAGCTGTGCGGGGGCCCCCTCCGGCTCCCCCCGCCATGCAGGGGGCGGTGTGTCCGGGTCTCACTGCGCGGCTCTGCCTTCCCCAGCTGTGCGGGGCTGCTCTCCGGCTCCCCCCGCGACCACGCCCCCAGGAGGAGCCCTGCGCCGGTGCCCGAAGGGTGCTTTTCAGTTATTCTTGCGATGAATTATTCTTTGTTTTTGTGCTCACATTTATTTTTAATGAATAACAGCATCATCATACCCAAGAAAGTAGTGACATTGTCGAGGCTGTGTAGTCCCGGGAAGACCAAACCTCGCCGGCTCCGGCTCCGAAAGGACGCGGAGCCCCGCGGGTCTGAAGCGCAGGAGGCGCCTGGCTGGGAGCAGTGGGTTCGAGCCTTCGCTGGGCTCGGGTCAGAGCACATACAAGAAGCGACCCATGGGTGCGGAAGTAAGGGGAGCAAACCTCTCTCTCTCTCTCTCTCTCTCTCTCTCCCCCCCCTCCCTCTCCCTTCTTCCCTCCCACTCCCGTCCTCTCTCTCTCAATCAGTAAATTAAAAATAATAATAAAGCTCATATAAACTGTTTCTTAAAGAAAAAAAAGAGCAAGAGGGGAGCCACAGGTTCCGGTTTGCAGCCGGTCCTGCCCCTCTCGCTGGGCAGCTTGTCCCGTGGCCAGGCCTGACCTTCCCTCCTTTCCAGCTGCACTGTGACCCGGGAGGGGTGGGGGGAGGGGGGCGGAGATACCCCACTGCGCTGGTCCCTGGGCTGGGAAGGGGAGCAAGCTGTGCGCAGGACCCAGGGACGCCCCAGCTCCTCTGCGGCCGTGGAGAGGAGGGAAGAAGGCTTTGGCCCAGAGGTGAGGGCTGGACCCTGAGGGGAAGGCCGCGTTGTTGTCTTAACCAGAGGGGGTGGGGGGCAGGGGGGGCTCCATGCTGTCACTTGGACCACCCGCCTGTCCTCTATCCCCTCAGGGGACCACCACACTGGGGACCGGGATTGACTAAAGACGTAGCTAATGGAGTTAATCTGGTCATCATTTGCCCCAGAAATAAAGCACGTAGGAGTGCAGTTCTTTTCCTGAAACAATATTGACTTAATTGTGGTATTTTTTCCAGCGTTACTGAGCTGTAACTAACGTTGGGTAAGTTTAGGTGTGCAGCTGTTGGTTCGGTGCATGTATAAATGACAGCTGAGGACCGCACAGCTCAGCTAACATCCACCCTGTCATGTGGTTACCGTACCTATTCTTGGATAAGAACACTTAAGCTCTAATGATGGTATATACACACACATACATTTTTGGTTAATCCTCACCCAAGGATTTTTTTCCATTGACTTTTCTTCTTTTTCATCTTCTTTTTTTAAAAAAATTTCTTTATTTGTTTCAGAGAGGAAGGGAGAAGGAGAGAGAGATGGAAACATCAATGATAAGAGAGAATCATTGATCGGCTGCCTCCTGCACACCCCCTACTGGGATCGACCCCGAAACCCAGGCATGTGCCCTTGGCTGGAATCAAACCTGGGACCCTTCAGTCCACAGGCCGATGCTCTATCCACTGAGCCAAACTGGCTAGGGCTCTTCTTTTTTTTAGAGGGAGTAGAGGGAAGGAGGGAGAGAGGGAGAGAGAGGGTGGGAGGAGAGACATTGATGTGAGAGAGATGCATGGATTGGTTGCCTCCTGTAGGTGCCCAAGGCAGGCCAGGATCGAACCTGCAACCCAGGTACTTACCCTTGACTGGGAATCAAGCCCTCGGCCCTTCAGTGCCAGGGCTGGTGCTGTAACCACTGAGCTACTGGCCAGGGCTAATTATGGTATTTTTAATTACACATTCTCTGAGGGAGGCGTTATGCTCTTGCAGGTGGAAAGTCCACAAACCGTGTGTGTGTGCGTGTGTGTGAGTGCGTGTGTGTGCGCGCGCGCACACGCACGCGTGTGTAAAACCACAGCCACAGACTTCTTAAAGACTGGATGCATCCTTCCTGATGAACATGCTCATAGCTGCCACACGGGAGCCCAAGCCCCAAGGCGCTCGGTGGCTGGAGAGCAGGCACCTGCAGGGCGGGAGGCCTGGGCGCAGCCTCTGCACAGCCACCCCAGGTGCCTTCTCCTCCAGGGCCGGCCCAGGCCGAGAGGGAGATGTGTCCCCGACGTTATTGTTAACAGAATACATTTCCTTTAGTAACATCCCTGACAAATAATTTTTCTTAACTCCAGGCAGAGTGTATTCAGCTTTCTTTCAGGGGACGAGGTCACTGGTGTCCATGCTAACGCGCCTTTGCCCTTGTATTACAGTAGCAAACTGTGGTGGGCAGCGAGGGCAAAGCCGTCTCCCGGAGGTAAGCCCTGTGGGTTTCAGCACTGACTCCCCGAGGCCTCCGATCGCCATCTTCACCTACAGCCCGAGGCTCTCGCCATCCTGCCCCCCCGCCTCCCCCATGGCCCTCAGTGCAGTGGGGAGCTTGGGACACGCGTGTGGCTGTGTGTCAGCTCAGGCTGCAGCACGAAACACTAGGAACACAGATCTCTCACAGCTCTGGAGGCTGAAGGCCGAGACCCAGGCGCCAGCAGGGTCGGTCCCCGGGAGGGCTCTTTCTTGCTCGCAGACGGCCATCTTCCCAATGTGTCCTCATGTGGAGAGAGAGCCTGGCGTCTAACCAGGGCTCTAACCCCATCACCGCCCCACCTCAGGGCCTCGTCTAACTGCCCATACGCGGGGCAGGGCTCTAACGTGAATGTTCGGGGCTCCCGGACATTCAGAGCAGAGCTGTCACCCCACCCAGACCCCGAGTCTCCCAGTGGGAGGAGCCTAGGTCTCAGGACTTCATGACCAGGCCCCAGGGGTAAGCCAGTTGGTTCCCATGTCCGGTGCTGGCTGGGGCCACCGTGGGGGGCTCTTTGTGGAGCCTCCAAACCATTTCTTCTTGTTTCCTTCTTTGTTCTTCACTTAAAAGACCATTTGAATGCCTTCGTCAGGGAGGGAAGCTATGTATGTGTTCGAGCTGCCTGTGGCCGAGAAGAGTGCAGGGTGAGCTTGCAGCACCACAGGTTATCCGGGTCAGTAAACTGACAAAATGCTTTAGAAGCGGTTTTCTGCGTTGAACGTGGGTTTATAGTCCTCACAGTGTCTGCAGACTCGTCACTGCGGCTCAGTGTTGCTTCTGCAGCGTCTCTCTGTCTGTGGGGAATGAGAGGACAATGGGAGCGCTGGGGAAGCTGCCCTGACTCAGACCTAGAGGGGCTGTAACCCCAGTGTAGGCGGGCGTGAATCTTAGCTCTGCAGTCCTGGCTGACATGACGCCGCTCCACTCCCCTGCTTCCCCTGGTGTGGTCTCCCAGAAGACATCCCGGTTGGCAACGGTAATTAAAAGAGAATCCCAGTGATGACTTGCATTGTTTGGAAAATAGAGAAGATCCAGTCCGTAACCCGACCACACATCTAACACCCCCTGCTCCGCTCCCCAGCCCCCCCAAACCTCTGTGCACTCCGAGGCCAGCCACACAGCTCTTCTCCAGCCCCTCTCCCTGAACGCCTCATCGCCTCGCAGCAAGTTTTAGCGCGCTGGTTCCCTTTGCATTGTCCCCTGGCCTCACTCAGGTGAGTGCGTGTGTGTGCACAGGGTGAAGGGCACATCCTCTCTTCTGGCTGCAGAGTGACAGGGGCAAGGCTGGCTAGGGACACAGCCGACACGGCTCCTTCGTGTGTCATATGAAAGGTTTCTTTTTTTAAAAATATAAATTAAAAAAAAATCGAACCCGGGACCCTTGAGTCCGCAGGTCGATGCTCTATCCATTGAGCCAAACTGGTTAGGGCATATGAAAGGTTTCTTACTATTCCAGGTAAATAGAAACCTCTGGGATTAGGGCTCCGTGGTTCAGGGCCAGCTGCCTCAGTGATTAGGTATAAATCATTTTTCTACATCCCTTACTTCCCTGGCTTCTCTTTCTGAAACAGAAAAGCATTTACCCTATTCTCCTTCCTTACACATGTGTCGTGACTTTATCCGTTATGAGTAGTCATCTCCAGCTCCGGGAGAAGTGCACTGTGTGAACACCAGGCTTTGGATAGTCATTCATTCCACAGCACCTGCTGCTCGTCGAGCCTGGGCCTGGCAGCTTCGCACAGACGTGACGGGTCTGTGATGACGGAGCGCGGACCCCAGGCTGGGCGCCGGCTGGAGAGGAGAGTGGGGCTGGCGGACCCTTGGACAGCTGCATGGCTGCCGCAGTCCAGGCCCTTCCACGGGGGTGTCAGTGCCCCTTTCCTGCGAGCAGGTGTGAGGCCATTCCCAGGGGTGATTACTTCTCCGTGGTGAGAGCATGCCGTCGGCTGTGAGAAGAGCCCTCGTCATTTAGGGATGTTTCTGCCTCACCTTCTCTCAGCACAGCCTCCCCCAGCCTCCCCACGCAGCTCGCACACCTGGCCTCCTTACCTTGTCCGCCTGCAGCGTGTGAGGCCAGCACGGGGCTCTCCTGG